CACACTAACTTTCCAAAATTCTTCTCATTATTTAATCTCGCTAATTATTTTTAACTGCTAAATCCGGGATTTTCTCAACAACCAAGAAGAAGCACTGGTTTGCTTATTTTAAATTTTATTTGGTGACATCTGATCTGATCATGTCTAGTAGCAGGAGTCGGTGATGCGCCTCATGCTCATGAACCTGGTGCCGCTCATGCCCATGTCCCTGAAGCTCCTGTACTCTCCGGGCCTCATGTACATCATCCTGCCTCGGTACTGGGGCTGCTCGTACATCAGCCAGTGGCCGTCCATCACGCTGCAGGACATGCAGTCGGACATGCGGTAGCGGTCCATGACGTTGTCGCAGTCGTCCATCAGCTCGTGTGACTGGCCCACGAAGTTCTCCCTCTCGTAGATCTTCATCCTGAACTGGCCCCTGTGCTGTTGTTGTTTAGGGGTACATGAAAGCGTTAGTCTGCAGATTTGCCTTCAGTGCCGGCAGCTACGCACAGCGCTTTGTACCTACCATGGGGATCATGCGGCAAGACCTGATGAAGTCCCTCATGCCCATCGTGCTCATGTAGTCGGCGTACTCGCCCCTCCTCATGAAGTACTGGTTCCCCATGTAGTTGGGCCTGTCGTAGACCATGAAGCAGCCGCTCTCCACCCTGCACGAGTGGCACCTGCTCAGGTAGGAGGACATGTCCGAGCAGTCGCTCATGCACTCGTAGGTGCGGCCCTGGAAGTTCCTCTCCTCGTAGAAGATGATCTTTCCCCTCATGTTCATGCCGGTGTTGCTCATGTTGTCTGTTCGTGTGCTGGAGCCCAGTGAACTGCTTTCCCATCTGGTTTAACCCTTTGCTTTTATACCTGCAAACCCCCCTTACTCAGCAACTTACCATTCAAGCCAAAAACCTTTTTTTGGGGACTGGGTACCTTGCAGTCTTTTTCACACAGTGCTCACCACACATGAATAGGTTTGTTTTGTTTGAGGGAAACAAAACGAATACGGCACAATGAACAGAGATTTTTCAGAGAACAAGAAGGTGGTAGTTGTATAAATGTGTGTGTGAGCGCGTTCCACTGTCAGATGAGGAGGGAGTCTAGATGGGGAAGGGAGGGGAGAAAAGACTGTGCAACACTCCAACGACCTATTAATAAATGAACGATAACCATGATGAGGATAACTGCACCTTTACTGCCATGTTTCCATGTTGAGTAGCGTGTTGGTGCGTGTTGGTTTGTGTTGGTTTGTGTTGGTTTGCGTCGCTGTGTGTCGGTTTGCGTTGGTGTGTGTTGGTTTGCGTTGGTTTGCGTTGGTTTGTGTTGGTTTATTGGGTTTATGGAGGCTCAGCTCAGGTCCTTCCCACAGTTCAGCTGCAGCTGCTCGGGACGAGGCCCCCGACTGCTCCCACTTCGAAAACAGAATAAAAATATGGAAATATGGAAGCATATTGATGAAACATAAGTATGAATGAAATCTAAGTAAAGTAAATACATTTATTTTTTACGCTAAAGCGTTATTGTTCACCGTGGTTTTGTAATGAATTAGATACATTATTTTGTAGGTATCTAGAATTATTGATATGCTTTCTTTTTGTATATTTATTGTTTTTTAAAACCCATGCAATATCTTTTATCGTTTTTAAAACAAACTTTTCGTCTTTTGAATGTAATTTAACAAGTCTTATCTTTTATACATTTCCACGGCAGTGTATATAGCACGTTGAATGAGCTTGTGTCTAAATACGATCTTTTTTCCTGAATCTGAGATATGTAGCGAGGCTGCTTGTTCCATGTTTATCTCGTACTGCACATTGTGTGAGTTGAAGGTCGTGTCCATTTATCATTGAGAATTTGTTCGGAAAGTTCTTTATCTCAGAGTTGTCAACTCAAAATAAAAAGTCCTTGTCGTAGCTTGGATTGGCACTACAAATACATCAATGAATAAAAACAACATCTTCAAAGTTCTACAGAGATGAAAGTACAAATGTCTTATCAGAAAAATATATACCAAAGGTTGATTTGTAGAGGAATGTCCCCAGTGACCAAGAAAGTATTATTGTTTGTATTGTTGGTATTCAGGTCCCAGCGTAGCGGTCGAGTCCCCCAAAAAGCTCACGGCATGAATCCAGGATGCTCATGGGATGTTTAATGGTCGTGACACTGCTGCGATTATCTTTAATATTTTCATCTAATCTTTGGGAGATACAGAGGGTAAATGTTTCTAACCTCTGGTTTCCTTTTCTTATAGAAAAAACTCAAACGTTTCAGATAATGTAGGGATTATAAGTGTACAATATTAAGTTCAGTAAGGGATATATCCAAGTAAATGGCTAACATGCTGCTTCCACTTACATTTTATTTTATAAATAAAATGTAAAAGCCTACAAATATCTGGACTGGAATGATCTTCACTAATGTGAGCAGTAATAAAAAGTACAGCAAGCCAGTGAGAATATAGATATTCACCCTGTAATTTACTAAACAGCTGTGAATTGGAATCAAAGCCCTCTTTAGCTGGCATTCTTCCCCCTGACGTACTTAGAGCATGCTTTAAGTAAATGGTTAGACTGATAACTGCAGACCGGAGAGAGTAGAATCAAATCTGGGTCTCGAGGAGCTTTTAAGTTGGTGCCAATAAAGGTGGTAAATCCACATCTGTGGGCTACTCTGGTACGGGACCCCTTTGCTGCCCGCTGGGAGGAACACAACTGTGGTTAGCTTGCCCGTCTGATGAGAGCTGTGGTTATAGACACAAGACAACAATTTCTGCAAGTTCTGATGTATGAAATGCTAAAGAAAAGCTATTTTTTGCTGTGACTGTGTTCATGTCACGTCAAGCATCAAATATGTTTAAAGGGAAAATCTTGCAAGTAAATACATACAAAATGACGAGATTGAATATAAACAAATAAAACATATAAATAGAGTAACACATTCAGCAGGTCTGCAGGATGAGGCGGCGTGGGCCCGGACTGACACTAGTCCCATTGATGGAGATGCGGGTCGTGCCCCCTCTGCCTGACGCTTCCTGTCGCCCACAATCAGCTCTTTAGATTTGCTGATGTTGAAGATTGAGGTCGTTGTCCTGGCAACCAGATATCTGATCACCTCTCCTGTTTGTGAACATCTATGTTTGTGCTGTAAAGTTGTACATTTGAACAGTCACCAGCCTCATGCCGCAGTTTGTGAAGCTTCCGCTGCATAAAGACAATGAATTAATACAGACATGTGCAAAAAGGAGTTTGTACGAATTATTTATATGAGTAAGATGCACACAGTCTAAGTTTAGTTGAGAAATATGGAACTTAATACAATTTAGGTTGTATTAAGGTTCATTGGGGCACAAGGTCAGTTGTGTATTGTGTCCCTTAGCTGACTGTCATCACAGTGGGACAGTGATCACTTTTCCTCTTCAGTAAGCACCGTGTCATTTCCCTCCCTACCAAAGCACAATATATTACATCTGGATTTCAGAAATGGGGCTTTAGCATAATTAATAAATCATTTCTTAGATTAATTGGAAAAGTGACAAATACCAGATTGTTTTCTTCTTTTTATTGTCCGAGCATTTCATTTCTTGAAAGCTGTTTGGATGTTGAGATAATTGTATTCTAAGTATTTTCAAAAATGCTTCTGGTGTAGATCGCCTGCACCAGCTGTGACACTGCATCATAGTCCTAAACAATGACGGAGTATTTTTCTCCTGTTGCACACGTTGTAAGTCACTCTTGATGCATGAGCCAGCTAAATGCCAAACATGTTAATGCAAATGAGACAGGTACATGCCCTAAAACATGAGCAGCATTGGATTACTGCCGGGAGCAGATGCTGCCTGTGTGTGAGCGAGTGCTTTGTGGGGTTGTGCGTTAGAGGTTCCTCTGCATTTACCAACATCTGCTCAGGTAAAATAATCAGGATAGTCTATTTATGTTGCTTCCTTTATTGGGCCAGCAGCATGATTCTCATTTTCCATCCATGATGCACAACTAAAATAGATATGTATTACAGCATAGCTGCCTGTGTGTGTGTGTGCGTGGGTTTGTGTGTGCGTGCATGTAGGGCCATGCTGGGCCCAGTTGGACATCAAATAATAGGCCATCATCAATCCCTGTCACATTCTCCAGGGACGAGGCAGGAGGAGAATGGGGACCAGGTCAAGAGCGAGTGTGTGTGTGCGTGTGTGTTTGTTCATCTACTCTAAGAGATGGTGTGAACGTGGAGCAGACAAAGGAAGGGTTATAGGTTCTGGAACAATGCACGAGCCGTGTGTATAAGCTGCCATGATGGTGCAGCATCTGCCTGTTTGTGTGTGTGTGTGTGTGTGTGTGTGTGTGTGTGTGTGTGTGTGTGTGTGTGTGTGTGTGTGTGTGTGAAAGACCAACATATGGGCTATGCACACAGGTATAGACTCAGCACTGATTGAGCATATCTTATCTGCAGAGCGGCAGCAACTAGGAATGAAGATGTTACTCTTTGTGACATTTTCTGCGGCCCGAGCCACTGTGATATGTTCTTGTCGCCCTTACAAAGCGTTGCCTCATTCTGGGTGTGTTTTCTTTTTCGGCCGCTAAAGGCCCCCCCCTCCCAACACACACACAAACACACACACACACACACACACACACACACACACACACACACACACACACACACACACACACACACACACACAAACTCATAGGTGTTTCTGTTTAAGGCTAGTTTTTCTCAGACTGAAAAGCTGTAATGTCTGACTAACATAGTGGAAAGTATTACAATTATATATAATAAGATCTATTTGTTGAGGTTATTTGTTCCTCCAATTACAATCTATATGGAGTCAGACCTTGATATGAATGTTGCTTGATCACTGTGTACTTCAATCGTGATAGAGAATAGCAACAGTGTTTGTTTACAGCAGTGGTAGAGTTGCAGAAGTAGGGCGGGGTCTGGCAGGTCCCTCCGCCAATCAGCACCGTTTGTTCAGTGAGCTCGCGGTAGTAAGGCGGGAGTCAAGGCGCTCTGAGCCAATCAGCGCACACCTTCCTCAGCGCTGGGAGAAGTTAGCTGTCTGCTGGCAGTCCGGTCCGTAGCCACGATGGGTGTAGTACCCTGCCTCCTGTTCGCCCTCCTGCTCGGGACGCGGATACAAGAAAACACCGGTAAGTGCCCCTCCACGGACCACACCGAGTCGGCTTTCGGTTTGGTCTCGCGTGTTCCTCGGAAGTTGCGTCGGACCAGTTCTGCCAGAAACATCTCTTTGTTCGAGTAGCCCGAAGAAGAAGCGGAGTGTGTAACTAAGATGGCGCGGGGTCGCGGCCAGCCTGCTGCTGCCTGTCGGAGGAATGTTTATTGTCTGAGCGGAAAGACGATGCCAGATAAAAGCTGCACCGGGCTTCTAACTTGGCAGACGGGATCTAAACGGACCTGTCCGGCTCGATTCCGGTTCGGCTTTCTGGGATTCTGCTTCGCCCTCAAAGAGCTCGCGAGCCCGTCCGGAGGAGACAAAGTTGTCCGAACCGCTGGGTGGATGTCGGCTCTCCGCTGTCATTGTTGTGTCGGTTCGTGTTCCGTCCCTCTTCTTTCGGAGGCCGTCGTTGAACTGCGCTGGTCGGCTCGGGGTTCCCGTTATTCGCTCGGTGTTTATAGGAAACACATCTGGACTGTTGTTGAACTCCGCTCGCTGCTGTCAACAGTAGTGTGTCCCGTTGTGTGGCTGATTAGTTAGTTGGTTAGTTAGTTTATGAGTGTCGACTGGCGGGTAACTTTCTACTTACACACTAACTTCACTCCCGCGAGCATTTAAGCGGTTTGTTTTTCTACACTTCCAGCTCCTCGACCCGGGTCTTTCCGGCGGTGGTTCCGACGTGAGTCCCTGACGGGTTCCGTCCGTGCAACCTAATTGCTCCCGTTGGTGACGCTCTGTTGCATTCCTCTGCGGACCCGAAGAGCCCCGTGTGGACGAAAGAGGCGCGTGGCCTCTTTCCATCATGCATGCGCGTGTGTGTGTGTGTGTTTATGACCCCCGATGGGCGGGATCGCCCCCCCGTAAGATTTCGCCATGTGACTCTGCATCAGTAGCTGCTCGTTAGCGAGCTGACCCACGTGCCCGTAATGTGCACGCGCGGTTTTTATTTATATAGATGTTCACTTCTCAGTCGGAACCGCGCGCGTTTTCCTTTGTTCCAGCGGCCATTGCAGAAGGATCATTTCTCTCGGATACAAACGGGAGCTCAGTGTTTTCCTCCTTCCTATGCACTCACGCGCTTCCTTTGTGCGACATTCCTTTGTGTGGAGAGAGAGAGAGCGAGAGAGAGACATCACGGGTGGAGGAGCGTGCTCTTCAAACAGCATACATAACGCTGTATGAGAAAACCAAAGCAGGGGGTCGTGTCCTCAAACACCCCATGCACACTGCTGCTATGTTGGCTCAAAGACCCGTGAGAATGTGAGGGGGATGCTCATCAGTGGGGGTCGCCATGGCGTGGGTCCACCACGGTCAAATCCACATCAGAAAATATGAATGTTGATATGTGTGTGTGGACACACACGATGCGAGTGACTCTGGTGTGCGTGCTGCTGTCGGGTTTGAATGCGCTTCCACAGGAGGATGCGTGGGGCTTTAATCCGAGGTGCCACTGACACTCCAGCGTGTTCCGCTGCTTTTGGGCGTTTCAGCGCCACTCCCCTGCAGCCTCCGTGGTGTTCGCACAAAAGCATCCGCACACACATCCCGGCTCTGGCAGTGGGGCCAAATTGGGTGGTGTCACAATTGCTCTCCTCCTCCCACCAGCCCCAGTCATCCTCTCTCCTAATAGGCTCCGATAATAGTCTCCCCCCCCCCCCCCCCCTGCATCGCTTTCAGGCATAGTACAAATACAGGGACACATTTTGCAGGAGTGGTCTGTGTGGTGGGAGACTGACTGTTACTCTCCCTCTTCTTGCTTTTGGTCATTAGCATTCCTCACATAACCAGCGGCGTGGGCAGGTATGCGCCCCATGTCACACCTGCAAACATGTAGCTCTTCTGTTCCGGTTTGAAATCTAAATGTGTCCTGCATGTGAATCATTTGGATCCAGGCGAAGGCGGCAAGTGGCCGGCCAGCCTTCCTGAGATTGGAGTCGGACAGGGAGGAAAGGTGGCGTTGTGATGTTGGCAATAGAACCTCTTTGATGTGACTTGACGGGCCTCGGCACTGACAGTCAGAGTGCGATGCAGTAAGACTCATCGAGTCCTCCGGGGGGGGGGGGTTTGCTGTGCACTGAAATGACAAAGAGGGAAACATGTGATTCTACATTCCCTGTGTGATGGAGTCTCGTCTAGTGTCCCCTACTTTCTTATTGTCCCGGCCCAAGGAACCACAACAAATTGGACGGGTTCCTCCAGGCAGCAGCTAGCTGGATTCAAATGAACGCCACCCCTTCTTCCCCCACCCACCCCCACCACTGGTTTTCTTCACGGGGAGGCCCGGGAGTCACCAGCCCCACTGCTGATTTGAGAGCCGGCGGTTGCGCTTGTTCATATCCGGTTTGAATAATAACCTAAGTAATAGTGGTTGTGGTTCCACCACGTGTACACACATTACGCCGCTGGAGTCACGTGATCGCTGATAACGTCAAGTGGTTGCAACTAAAAGTAGGCGAGGTGGAATAGAGAGAGCAAGAGATCTTTGTAGCGTCTCTCTTCACCTTCATCTCAAACATTTCACCACATCGCCCGTCCTCATGTCTCCTGAGAGTGCTGACAGCGACTTGCACCGGATGTCACTATGCAGTCAGGTGTGATGTGTCTCTGCAACCATCTTTAGTCGAGTGGCTGTATTTAAACTCAGGAGGCATGTTTGGTTCTGGCCCTTACTGGGAATCAGGGTGCTTACCTGCACCAAAGAAGGGGTCTGCAAGGACCACTGCTGTTGAGCACCGGATCGACGTGTCAGCGTTCTAGTTTGTGCTTTTTAATAGAAATACAAAATGCACAAAGCGCGAGCATGACATCACACGTTTTAATAGCCTGCGTGGGGGGGGGGGTGTTTAAAAATATGTCGCACTTTTTTCTGTAATGTCTATTTTATTGTGATCTCGGATCAAGCTCACGGCTGGTTATACGTCTCATTTGTTTGGTTTAAGAGTGGGGCGGCTCACTGACAGCTGTGCAGAGATAAAGGAAGCCGGCTCTCACACAAACTAATTGAATTCTGCCTGACGGATAAAAGAAAATTGACTTCCACTGCCAAACACAAGGTTATTTGTAATTCACACACGCATGCTCGTAGTGTCCTCATGCTCTAATTAACAAAAATACCATATCCCAGTAAATCAACGCGCAGGTTACACCTCAGGTTTCACGTGTTTTACCTGCGTAGGACTCAGTTGAGGCTTTCTGAGTTCCTCCAACAACCTGGTCCTCGACCGCTCCGTCTCAAAGAACTGATTTAGTGTGGTTTCTCGTTTTTATTTGTCACCTTTTTATCATTATTTCACCAGAGAAAACCCACAACTGGATGGCTTAACAGAGCCTGCAAGCTTTCAGCAGACGCATAGTTTGGCCTGTCGCGATAATTGTTATAATGACTTATAATCAATAAATAAAAATGAGCGGGATTTTTGGTGATGCGATATATTATATTCATACATAGAAATCAATGTCACCAACATTTTAGACGATCGGCTGTCTCCGTCCTCATGTGTGCTTTCTTGGTCGAAAGTGGAGGTGGGGCTTAGGCAGCGTCTCCACACACGAATGGACTTGGTTTGTGTGGAAAAACCTCATTGAAAGAGCGTACTTTCATAATGCTGTTATATTGTCATATGTTCATTATGTAATCGTTGGCATGAAAAATGACAATAATATTGTTTATCGCAATTAATTTTGGTGCAATAATCGCACAACAAAAAGTAGTTATCGTGACACTGAACAGTTTAACACGGGGGAGCCGCAAACAATAAACTTCAAACCCAGTTCTTTCTGCTGCGTCTGAGGGTCCCGATGCAGACGTGTGTCTCCAGCAGACAGTCGGTTCACTCTAGTCGAGACTCAGCGGCTCGGTTGCATCTTGGTGCGTTCAGGCTCTACTCTGATTGTCCAATACTCCTACATTAAGTATGTGTTCAGATGTAATCCTGGGAATAAATCCATCATTTTCCATTACAACAAAGGCTATATTTTCATTTGGGTAATGGACTGTGGACACACAACTCCACTTCTAGGTTGAATGGTTGTGGTCGTAGTTTGTTTATCCACGTCATAATGTCGAAAAACGCAATGTTTTTACATCCATCTAACTTGGCCAATTTTTTAAGATGTCATTTATTTTTTCTCTCTTCTTTAAAGTGGAGCATTTCACGCTACTCTCTGTCTCCACCCCTGTCGACCGTACACAGTTATAAATCAAGGCCTCCTCTCTGTGGCGCCACAATGGCGAGTCAGAGTATTGTGTTTTCTGACAGGGTGCAATGAAACGAGCTTCACCAGAAAAAATACTGTTCAGTGTTCGGAAAAGGTGGAGAGAGAGAGAGAGGGCACATTTGGGCGATAAGGAGGGGGGGGTCACTTAGTCAGACGGCTCTATGGGGGCGGGCGTGCACCGTGTCCAGGTCGGAGCAGCTGCCAGGCCGGCTGACCTTTTCTAGATGGAGCTGCTGCATATTTATACGAGCGGCGGCTGAGACAGATGTAGCGCTGGCTCCGCCCACTCAGTCTGCCCGTCACTCTGAGGGATCTTTCTTTTGTCATGAGAAGATGCAGGCAGCACGACGTGGTGTTTTTCCTTCATCGGGGCGCGTTGCAGTGGTCAGCAAACACTGAGCGTGTGGAGTGACGTGAACTGGGGAAACCTGCGTTACTGCACATGCTGATACCGCCACGTTAAAGCGACTCGCCTGTTCCCGACCACAAACGTAACGGGCGGTGCGAGTCCCAGTTGTGTGAACACCACGTCGCTAAGCCGTGACTCCGGGGTCGACCTGCAAGGACACGCATGTCAGCGGAGCAGATAGCAGCCTCTCTTGTGCGCTTTGTGTTGTGCGAGAGGGAGGCTCATCTAAGGGGTTAGGGGGCCCCTTTTGCCCAACACGCACACACAGAGCACATCTGGCATGGACAAAGAGCCGGCCATAACGGCTGTGGATGGGGGCTGGGTATATGAGGGTGGTTGGGGGCATG